AAGGCCTCCCTTTACCCGCAGAAACACTCCTGGTCCTCATTTCTGTTAGAGGCTGAGTCGACTCCCAAGGCCGAAGTGCGGCTGGAAGGATTAGGCCGATTGAAAAATGTAGTGACATCGGGGATCGTACCCACGACCTTTCGGGTTGCAGCCTCAACCACCTTGACGTTTGTGTCTGTGTATCATTCCCGCGGCAGTAGAAGCATTGCTGTGATGTTTGTATCGTATCATACATTCAGTACGCAGCCGATCAGCTCTTCTCGGTAAGCGTGGTAACGATGCCTCAGTATCTAGACCATGTGACGCCTGTATCGTATCAAACACTCAGTACGCAGCCGATCAGCTCTTCTCGGTAAGCGTGGTAACGATGCCTCAGTATCTAGACCATGTGACGCCTGTATCGTATCAAACACTCAGTACGCAGGCGATCAGCTCTTCTCGGTAAGCGTGGTAACGATGCCTCAGTATCTAGACCATGTGAAGTCTGTATCCTATCAGACACTCAGTACGCAGGCGATCAGCTCTTCTCGGTAAGCGTGGTAACGATGCCTCAGTATCTAGACCATGTGAAGTCTGTATCCTATCAGACACTCAGTACGCAGGCGATCAGCTCTTCTCGGTAAGCGTGGTAACGATGCCTCAGTATCGAGACTAAGTGACGTCGCTGTAGAGGAGACCGAAATACTTGGAGCTAACCTGTCCCAGTGACATTGAGTCCGTCACAAATCCCACTTGACCTTACCTGGGAACGAACCCGGGCCGCCGCGGCCCACTAGACTTGCATTCGCTAGGTTCCCGGTCGGAATGTCGGATGGGTCACAAGCTACGCGGACTGAGGTAAAGTAAAAGAAGTAAAGTAAAGCTATCCCTGAAACAGGCCGTGGAGACCCATAGGGTTGCGAGATGTTGAGGTTCCCACATTTTCTAGACAATCGGCTCACAGATGGCGGCAAGGTTGTGAGCCTTACGCGCCGGCCGCCCTTTACCCCTAAGAACATTCCGAGAATATTCCTGGTACTCATTTATGTTAGAGGCTGAGTCGACCCCAGGGCCATAGTGCGGCTGGAAGGATTAGGTAAATTGAATAATCCAGTGGCCTTATTGGGACTTGTACCTGCGACCTTCCGGCTTGTAGCACAGTTCCTCAAGCAACTACGCTACCGCGTGCCCCACCCGGACCAACTTGTTTCGTAGTATTCCTCAGTCCCTCCAGGTATTTGCCGGTATAGGATCATATTCACTAATCATCAGGGCGTCAGGCGCCGTGCAGTCTGGCTGCCGATGAAGCACACAAAGTTACCACAAAGGAATGTTATGGTGTAGGAAGTCAAGCCTGTTCCGACATCAGGCGCCCATCCCAGCTTTTCTTAAGTTTTCCTCAGGCTCAGCGTCCTTTTAGTTTGTACTGTAGAATTTGTTTCGGTATCTTTTCATCGGTCATTCTACCCTGGTGGCTTATCCGGTTTTATTTCTTTTCATCTGCTTTATATCGTAAGTAAGATAAGAAAGTTTGTGACGATTACAGTTATTGTGTTTCTGGACGTCATCCATCGTCCTGTTTTTATATAAAACAGAACGTTTCGGAGACTCGTTTTCAAGTGAAATCTGCTCAGTCTTAATACAGTAAAACTTGGTTATAGCAACATCGGTTTCTGCGACACCTTGTCTATTGCGTCAAATATTCAATGGTACGAACTACTTCCTCATAAAGCAACCGTTTTATACCTTGCTTAGTACGACATGCACAAATGCATCAACCTCGTATGTAACGTCATTTTCATTCCTGAATTTCTCTGATATGGACATTGAACGTAATTTAGAAAGTGTGTATTGGGCAAGTAACAGGAAACAGATGAAGATAACTGATTACTGTACTCGTATCTAGGTACAGTAAGGCACAACAATTGATGTAATCTACTGTAATTTGGTGAGTAGGCCTACCTTTAATATACAGTATTAGTGCGGTGTGTATTGTCAGTGAAAAGCGCTGTAATATGTCTTTGATATTACACATTTGGGCAATTCCACGTTAATGTTACGTTAGTCTGTACTTAACTACGTATTTCACTAAAAAATGCAACATTTTAACTCGGTTTTTGGTAGATTTTTACGTGACTAACATAAGGCTACTGTGGAAGTGCCCATTTCGGTTACAACGACATTCGTTTATAACGACACTATTTTTAGGTCCCTTTGATGACGTTATAACCAAGTTCTACTGTATTTGGCTTAACTCTCGCAGATANATTGTGTTTCTGGACGTCATCCATCGTCCTGTTTTTATATAAAACAACGTTTCGGAGACTCGTTTTCAAGTGAAATCTGCTCAGTCTTAATATTTGGCTTAACTCTCGCAGATGGTTCATGCTGTGCTTGGTATATATACCCCCTCTTGTGTTGGTGCTTGTGCCCGGAGATAGGGACTAGCTGTATCGATTGGGCCGAACTGAGTAGGTTCCACCTGAAGACGGATACAGAATCCAAACTGCACGTCTTAACTTACGTACTTTCTGGATTGCTGATGTCTTTGAGATATATTATCTTTTGAGATAAAAGGTAAAGCTAACCCTGAACACGCCATTCGGGGCCCACAGGGTTGTGAGACGTCGAGGCTCCCACATTTTCTAGACAGTTGGCTCACAGACGACGGTGAAGTTATCCTTATGCGCCCCCCGGCCGCCCTTTACTCTCCCAGGAAGATGCTTGGTACTCATTTCTGTTAGAGGCTGAGTCGACCCCAGGGTCAATGTGCGGCTGGCAGGATTAGGCCAATTAAAAATCCAGTGACCTCACCGAGAAAAATTTCTGAAAGATACTTCATTAACTGGTTTATATTTGGAGACACGATGGTTTCGTTGGGGGTAGGAACTAAATTATTTACTATTTACATGCAGTCGAGGCTTCAAACAGTTGGGACTTGTCATGCAATCCTCCCGATTTAAATTAAGCGAAACTCTATCTCTCCGCTATGAAGGCCATAAAATCCTCTCTGTTTCTCCAACGTTTGCAGTTTACTGTTAATTCAGAAAACCAAAATCCACGGTCCGTCTCAAGCCACCGCCTCCAACGATCCCAGAGTCTTATCAGAAGGACTAGCGGGCGAAGCCTGCGAACCTTATGAGAAAATTATATTCTGTGTCCTTCGTTATATCCCGAGGATAGGACTCTTCATAAGCACCGCTGTGAGAACGTGAAATCCTTCGTATGTTTGTCGTGGTTACTGTTTGTCAGCGTAGTTGGTTGAGGCACTATGCTACAAGCTGGAAGGTCGCGAGTTCGGTTCCCGATTATGGCATTGGATTTTTCAGCTGACCTAATCCTTCCAGCTGCACTATAGCCCTGGGGTCGACTCAGCCTCAAAAAGAAATGACTACCAGGAATCTTCCTGATGAGTAAAGGGAGCTGGCCGGCGCGTAAGGTGACAACCTCACCGCCATCTGAGAGCCAATTGTATAGAAAATGTGGGAGCCTCGACGTCACACAACCCCACGGGCCTTACTTATAGAAAATGTGGGAGCCTCGACGTCTCACAACCCCACGGGCCTTACTTCTTACTTACTTTATTTTACTCTTTGTCAGACGTCAGTAATTTATTTCTCGAACTCGGTTGGTGTGGGGCGGGGGGTAGTGCTTCCCGCTATGCGTTCTTCGCCCAGAGGAACTGAATAAATGTAAGTCTGTGATCAGGACATGATTTTGAGCGATTAACCCTTTCAAAGACGGTGGCTTGTATATGTAATATCTCCTTTAATATTAATGATCTTGCATTACGGATTCCAGCAAGGAATCTGGATATTATTCGTATTAACTCTTTTAAGGTACAGTTAGTATATATGCCGCCTGATTGAACTTGAAAGGATTCTGCAGTTTGGCCACGCAATATATTTGTGTGTTTTATATGATTCTCAAAGTACGTGGCGATTATTTATCTAAACGTCTTTAACTGGTTGATCTTTGTTATCTAGACACTGCACCTTTTCTGAAGTAGGAACTAAATGTTAAATATTTGTATGAATTCCAGACTTCAGACGATTCATGCTTCTATCCCGATTTAAATTAATAAAAATCAAACCCCTCTGCTGTAAAGTTCACCAAATTATCGTTCGTAATGACGCAATTCACCATAAAAATTCAGTTAGTACCTCACAGGAAACACATTACGTCTCCGCCACAAAGCCCAACTGGTTAATGCTCTTAGGGGAAACAGTCGCTGTTTACTGTGAGAACCATACAGAACACACAATACACTCCAAATAATATATAAGAATTCATTCCGTACCTCACAGGAAACACATTACGTCTCCGTTACAAAGCCCAACCGGTTAATGCTGTTTGGGGAAACAGTCGCTGTTTACTGTGAGAGCCATACGCAACACACAGATACATTGTGTGGGCAGTATGGAGAGTTTTAGTACGTTAAAGCAGGTGGTACATGTAGTAACCAATGGGCTTTGAAGGGGTAAGAAAATCAAAATCCCGCGGCCCATGTCTGAATTCACTACTCACTATTCCAGAGTCTTAATTTTCATATTGTCCTGATCAGACGCATGGAGGGGCGAAGCCAGCGAACCTGATGCTATGTGTCTGTTACTTGTCCCATGATTTTCTGGTTCACCTGCTCTTCTGCTATACTGTACTCCCCTCTCTGGCTCAAGGCTTCAGTGTGGGATCAGAGGCCGTATAATCTGTTCACCGACGTTTCGGAGAAACGGACTGCCCTCATTTGTATGGTCTGAGAGTCAACGGAAGAAGCATCCGGCAAGTTTGGTGATTACTTACGTCGCTCTTTACTCGACCCTGGAGATTTAAGCAATACGTTCTTTCGAAACGTCGGTGAAATTCTGCCGGACTAAACGACGTCACATCCCTGACAATAGCACTTGTAATAACATGTCACATGACTTTCGGTCACGTTATGGTGCCAAACCACCTCACTTCATGAGAACTTGAGTACGTTACCTTAATGTAATGTTTTGTCTTTTTTCTCATTTTGCCACTAGGTGAACGGTGTTAATGTAATGCAGTCGACGCACACGGAAGTGGTGGGCCTCATCAAATGTAAGTAACCTGTTTTCTCTGTGTGCATATGTGTGTGTGTGATATGTTTCGGAGAGAAGCGAAGATCGTGAGGCAGTCAGCAGTCCTTGATCACATTACAGGTATTCCTCTTTACATCCGGCACTATGCTACAAGCCGCGGGTCCGGCTCCCGGTGGCGTAGATTTTTTAAATTTACCTAAGCCTTCCAGCCACACTATGGCCCTGGGGTCGATTCAGCCTCTAACAAAAGTGAGTACCAGGAATCTTCCTGGGAGGTAAAGGACGGCCGGCGCGTAGGGCTGACAACCTTACTTTCATCTGTCAGTCGGTTGTCTTGAGAAAATGTGGGAGTCTCGACGTCTCACGACCCTATGGGCCTTCACGGGCTCTTACCATTTTACCTAGTTATAACTGAGTTTGAAAGATGTGATTTGATTTCAACGCGATCAAAGGTAGAAAGGTAAAGTTGTCCGTTTGCGTAACTAATTAAGCACTACGCCATGAGGGTATATGAGGGAGTGGATATACATGGTGTTTCACGACTTTAGGGCATAACAGCAGGAGGTGATTTCCTAGGTCTTGTGATCAAAACATGAACATGTGTCCGATTTTGGACGGTTACGGAGTTATGANTGATAGACGCGGTTCACACGAGGGCGTGTACGGGAATGAAAAAACGGTCATAACTCCGTAACCGTCCAAAATCGGACACATGTTTATATGAACTTTTTTGATCACGAAGACCTAGGAAGTCACCTCCTACAGTTATGCCCTAAAGTCGTGAAACACTCTGTATAGATCCACATATTCCTGTCACTAGTTTGAGATGTGTGGTCAGCTTCACGCACCTGCCGCTTTATCCCCGGAGGAGTCTCCGGTACCCATTGGATATGAGGCTGGGCGGGCCCAGAACCGGTCTGGACGACGTGGAGAAGAGAAAATTCTTGACCCTACCGGGCCGCGAACTCCGACCCCTCGGTCGCCCAGCTTCGTAGCCAGTCGCTATAACGACTACGCTGTCCTGGCATACATACATACATAGACGTATGCAGCGGCAAATATCCTGTGCTTTGCGACAGTCTGTCATACACTTTTATCAGTCTCATGTATTTGGTAAAAAGACCCCAGGATTTGGGGCCTGGATGATGAAGATTCCGTTCAAGGCGAGCCGTGGGGTCCCGTTTCGTGTGTTATTTAACGACACCAATTCATTGTATGATGCCACGAAAGTTGAATGATGAATTGCAAAAGACTTGGAAGGAACGGCCGTGATCACATCAAGATACTACCCTGGCATTTGCTTTGAGGGATTGAGGAAAACCACGAAAATCGTCACTTGGGATCGCGGTTCTGGGCCGAGATTCGAACCGAACACCTCCCGAATTCAATTCTAGAGCGTTTGGCTACGCGAAATCATACGAGGGCGAGATTTTTTCCTTCTCAAAATTGTAATTAAATCAGCAAGTTGGAAAAAGGGAGTGTGTCCAATGGCTGAAATGGAAATACGTCCCCTTTTCGAATTAACCGGTTGAATTGTTATCAAACTGAGGACGATGAGATGGGAGTGACATGCAGCACACACAGGGGTTTAGAAATGGATCCAAGCGCTCGGAAGACCTATGCGTAGATCTGAAAGGAATGTGATTTGAGGGCGTGGACGGGATTGAGCTGGCCCAGGGTTCTTGTTATCGTTCGGGTTCCATGAAAGATGTGGAATTTGTTAGCTTTTGAAGGTGGAGTCTGATCGAAAGAGTTTGTATTTTGGGTTTAATATAACAGATTTTATTTTAAGGTCTAACAGCATCGGGGGCTTTGCTCCTGTGAATGAAATGACCAGAGCTTCAAGCTGATCACTCTCTTCTCTCTGGTGCCTAGGTCAGGAATGTCCGCTCCTCTATACGTGTTATTATCGTGATGCTTAAATAAGCACAAGGACAAACTAACCTTTGACATTATTTATTTGTTTTTAGCTTACTTTCCATATTTCGAAAAAATGAAACTACGCTTATGTGATCACCATGCTGTCTGTGTATCTGCTCCCTAACAACTTTTGCGTGCCTGGATAAATCTATATGAAGCCTGGTACGTATACCGTTCCACATGAAGTCATGTCAACAGCGTACTTCATTAACCCTTAGATCTGTAATACCAACATTACATCTCATTGTTACTGTAATAGCCTAACTTAAATGCCATAATCGATCTCATGGAACGTGGTTATGTGTATCATGCCATCTGAGCCCATTCCAGCGACGTATACCATAAATCTTACAATCAGTAATACCAACATTTCAGCCTCCCAAACAGTATTGATTCATTGACTTTCTTTCTACTTTTTTATGAGACACTAAAATTACAGCGAAAGGAAAGTAGACGATTATTTCTTCCGAGAACTTATTATTATACTTGTAAGTCTTCGCTAGGTCTTGCCGAGATGGTACCTTCTCACTGCGAAGCTTCTAGTTCGGTTCCGTGTAACTTCATGTAAGACACGTGAAGAGATTGTGTTGCAGTTGTCTGTGCACTTATGTACGAAGCATACGGAGACGAGATGCGGGCCAGCCTTCGTGTAAAGCGTCCGTTAAAGTTATGTGAAAGTTTCCCCTCTCTTAATTGATTAAGAACCACGCCATGAAGACGTGTAAGGGAGTGGAGGCGAGTGGTCACCTTCATGCCCCGGCCGCTATACCGCGGAATAAAGAGCCTCCTATACCCATTGGATAGGAGGCTAGGTGGGCCCCGGAGTCGGTCTGAAGGCTGTGAAGAAGAGAAAAATCTCTTGCGTTTGCCTGAAGTCGAACCACGGCCGTCGAGCCCGTTGTGCCAACTCTTATTGTTAAAATGGTTTAAACTGAAAATTGTTGCGTGTCAAAAATTTTTAGTAAAACTCGCCAGTATCGGATTTAGCGAAAATTCGTTTAGCGGTGAGGTCTATGACGTGGTGAAAGCGATTGTCGCATTTTCGTCACGATAGTACGCGTGGGCCGGTGCCGGTATCTGTCGAGGAAGAAACGGTGTGTGTTTATCAGCAGTGCGGCCTTGTTGCCCTGGGTGTTCAAGCAATGCCGCACTCGTATTGCACAATAAATTCATAAATGTTGAAAATTATGAAGCAGGTTTGGGCAGCCTGTCTCGTTAAAGGTGAAGGCAACGTCCCTGTCAAGGCCGGATCTGAAAGGAAGCGACCGGTTCCTCGAAAAAAACAAATGGAACGCACAGATTTAATTGAGGTATTTGTTTCTGTAAGTCACGAGAAGGTTAAAAAAGGTAAAACTATCCCTATAACAGGCCGTGGAGGTTCATAGGGTTGTGAGACGTCGAGGCTGCTACATTTTCTAGAAAGTCGGTTCACAGATGGCGGTGAGGTCAGCCTTTTGCGTAGGCCGGCCGCCCTTTACCCCCAGGAAGAATCCTGGTACTGAGGCTGAATGGACCCCAGACGCACTCTGTAGAGGCAAGAACAAACACTAGGTGACCAGTTACTTGATGGTTTACAAGGTAGTGAGTCATGTGACGCTACCTCGCATGCGCGAGCTCTCAGAATAGCCCTCGTATAAAAGTGGCTGTATGAACCGTCTGCCAGTATGGCGCTATTTAGCTGAACCCTGTGGTGCTTGCAGTTTATACAAATAATGTACACAAATTCAAGAGTTCTGTCTTCTGGGATGTAACGTCTTGTACTCCGTTTGAAGTCAGCCGACGTTTCGGAGGAACGTGTCAGTCATGATTTGTTGCTTGGCTTATTCTTCGACTCTGAAGATGGAGGTGATATGTTCATCCGAAATATCGGTTTACTTTCAGCTGGCTACACGGCGTTATATCCCAGGAGATAGAACTGAGAGAGAGTTACTTTACGACTGGCGGTTTACCGCCAATCAGTTCGTCTTGGCGTCAGGCCCCTTGAGGCCCATGACCAGAGATTTTTTTTCCAACTGATCTGCGGCAATAGTCCGTATGTAACATCCTCTCTGACGAGAAGATGTGTTTGTCTCTTATGAATATACTTGACCTTTCGTCAAATGTATATTTCACACAAGTAACATGTTATCGAAAATTCTTCCTTTTGCAGACTCTAACCCTACATATAAGAATTCAGTTCGTACCTCGCAGGAAACACATTACGTCTCCGCTACAAAGCCCAACCGGTTAATGCTGTTTAGGGAAACAGTCGCTGTTTATTGTGAGAACCATACGGAACACACAGATACATTTCCAAATAATATATAAGAATCTAGTCCGTACCTCACAGGGAACACATTACGTCTCCTCTACGAAGACCAACCGGTTAATGCTGTTTGGGGAAATAACTGCCGTTTATTGTGAGAATCGTGCGGAACAAATACATTCTTTGGAAGGACTGCAGATTAAATTGTTAAATATGATGAAGCATGGAGTACAGTAAAACCTCGCTAATCCCGTTACAGTTAATCCGGCTGTCGAATAATCCGTATCGAAACGTGAAACATGCTGTTCACAGTTACGTACATAGTTTTAAAAGACACGTTGCATTTAGGAAGGCAGATGAGTCAGTTATCTGTTCAGACAAAACTTGAGACAGTTTCTTCAAACCTGCATTGTTACGTTCACAAACAGATAGAACTTCTGGGTCTTCAATAGATGAATAAATGTATTGTCTGATTATAGTTTTAAATGAAGGCTCTACAGCGATATATTTTTATTTATTTTGATCAGCACTACCTATATACTTAAATTTCCCATTTATTTGTGTTCTCAGTTATTTGCTGTATTTTAGGGCTACCGTTTGCTTCACTGATCCGGATGATCTCCCAGGAACTAACCTGGATTAGCGAGGGTTTACTTAACTGTTGCAACGTATGAACTTCGTTTGGTTCTGACGGATAGATTCGTCCATATTTCCCCTCCTTTCCTCGCACAGAGTAAATCCAGGCCGCGTCTCTTCGTAGAGGGCGTGCGAGCGGCGCCGGTGTTGCTCTGGCTCAGGCGTCTGGACGGGTGACAGATTGTGTTGGACGCTGCTGCGCATGGTCCGGTCTTGGT